TTTGGGGTTATTTACATCTCTTCATATTCTATCTCAGCAGTTCTGATTGCCATTCACTAAAACCTAGTTGTGAGAAGTTATAGGAAAAAATACATTTAGTTTTATCCTTAAAAAGGAGTAGGGCTGGGGATAGAATTAAATGAGTGTAACTGAAACACATTTGCTTTTGTAAAGTGTTGAAACATTCTTAGTCTTCTGAAATCGTATGGAAATCCACAGATTTTTAAAAATTCTTCTTAACTATTATGTGCTGGTGAAACAGCAAAAAAACAAGTGATATGGCCCCTACTTGTAGTGTAGCAGGGGAAAAGACATTAGACTAATTATATATTTTTATAAAGGGTCCATAATAGACGCTAAGAAAAAAGAAAGAGAGTATTGTGAGACTTAGAGGGCATGTAATAAAAAAGATCTAGAGATGACTCTGAGGCCTGGTGGTTAAGGCAGCCTTGCCACATAGCCAAACATGCAGTTCAAGTCTTGTCCCTGGCAACTTGAAAAACATATCTGGTGTGTATACGTGTATGCCCCAAATCCCAACAGGGCAGACAAATGGATGAAAAGAGATTGTAGCATGACCATTACCCAGTGGGGCATGCTTTCTCACTTTCCTTCTTTCTCTGTCTCTCTGTCTGCCTGTGATGAATGCATGTGTCCTCTGGCAAAGTTAAAAAAAAATAAAAAGATCTAATCAGAGGAATTGGGAATGATGTGTCAAGAAAAGCATCTCTAAGGAACTGATGTTTTCATGGGTGAGCAAAAGTGAACTAGATCGAGAGCTGAATAATGAGGGTTCTCTGCAGTGGGCATATCAAGTTGGAACTGTCCTGAAGCTGGAGGAGGTTAGTGTAGCCAAGGAATCAAAAGATCTTTGTGACTGGAGGGTAATTAAAGTGGGAGAAAGTGGTAAGAGATGGAGCTCCGGACTAAGGCAGTGCCAAATCATAAGGATCTTTGTAAGCAACATTAAAGACCTTATGCTTTCTTTTCTCCTTTTTTTTGGAGATATTTTTGCCATAGGGTATGTACGCTCGCTAGAAAGACAGAGAGAGACAGAGAGACAGAAAGCGAGAAATCACCCCCCAGGGGGTATGGCCACATTGCATTCCCTTCTCGTCCATTCTTCTCTCAGGATTTTGGGCACGCGCACACATGCACCCGGGTCCAGTACTTGAACTGCAGTTGACTACATGGGAGTCTAGCAACATAGTCATTACACCAACTGCTGGTACACTTATGCTTTCTTAAGTGCAGTGTGAAACCAATCCATGGGTTTTATGCAAGAGAGGGACATGATCAAATTTACTAAGCTCAGAAGTGGCTGAAGAAAATTTATCTAGGTCTCTAATTATTTTAAGATGGAACTTTCCAGAGCCTATAAATTTTTAACATGATCTTTATGTAAGTTCTTACAGGTTAAATACCCTTCATATGAAATATTTGGGACAAGAAATGTTTCAGAATTTTTTTTTAATTTTGGAATATTTGCAAATGCATAATGCGATAACAGGCCAGTGAGGTGGAGTGGTGGTGAAGGTGGTTGGATCCCACATAGCAGACTGCAGTTCAGGTCTCGTAGCTGGTGGTTTGAATAACATGCTGTGCATGTGCATGTGTGCCCACAATCCTGAGAGAAGAGTTGAGAAGTGATTGCAGTGGGAACCAGCAGTTAGCATAATGGCTATGTCGCTGGATGCCCACGTAGTCGAACGCGGTTCGCGTCCCGGACCTGGTGGCTTAGAACTCATGCCGGGCACGTGTGTGTGTGCGTGCCCAAGATCTTGAGAGGAGAATGGAGGAGAAGGGATTGCGGTGTGACCATCCCCCCTGGGGGGGTGATTTCTCGCTTTCTGTCTCTTTCTCTCTGTCTGGTGAGTGCATGCGCCCTATAGCAAAAACCTCTCAAAAAAAAAAAAAAAGAGAAAGAAGTGATTGCAGTGTGGTCATCCTCCTGGGGGGAAGGGGGGAAGAAGGGGCAAGGGGCAGTACTTACTCATTTTTTCTCCCTTTCCCTCCCTGTCTGTCTTTGTTGAGGTCAAGCGCCTGACAGCAAGAAAAAAAGAAAGAAAGAAAGAAAGAAAACAAAATCATGGGGATGGGACCCAACTCTAAAGATGAAATTTATTAATGTTTCATATATGCCTTATTCACATGGACTAAAGTTGCGATTTTATACACTATTTTTGTATTGCAGCATTTTGACTGTGACCTGTTACATGAAGTTAGGTGTAGAGTTTTCCACTTATGGCATCAATTAGAGCTCAAAAATGTTCACATTTTAGATTTTGATCTTTGGGATTAGGAATGCTCAACCTGTTACTGCTTTCACCAGAAATGCTACTTTCCCAGAAACTTCACTCCTAGAAGTTGGAAAGGAAGGCTTCCTGTTTAATAATATCAGTTCCCCTGCCTTTTAGTAAATACTACTTCTTAAGGTATTTGTTTGTTTTGTTTTGTTTTTGCCAGATGCAGTGTTAGATTTGGGTCTATCCATCTACTCCAATGATTCTCATACTTTAATTTGGCGTTTATCATAACAAGCCTGGAAAGTTTGCTAAACACAGATTGCTGGGCCCAGTCCCCAGAGTTTCTGGCTCAGTCGTGTTTGCATGGTGCCTGAAAATATGCATTTCTAGTTTTCAGGTGCCACTGGTGCTGCTGGGCCTGGGATTCATACTTAGATAAAGACTGACATACACCTTACAGAACATCTTGTGGCTATTTGGATACACTTCCACGACATTCAGCTGGGACTTGGAAAGTTTTCTAGGCTAGTGAACTCAACCTCCTCAAATACACATACCAAGAACAACATAATGATTTTTGCAAAGGAATATTATATGAAAGCATAAATGAATAAAACATACAGAATCAGTTAACTTAGCTGAGGTCTAGCCGTAGGCTAAGTGAAGCAAGTGGGGTGAGACATCCTAAATAAGTAAAACAGTGAAGCAGAGCTATTTTGATGGGAATAAAAGAGATGGTGGATGTGAGTTGAAAGCATTGATTATTTCCAATGATTATTTGTACCTTCTCCAAGCAGGAGAAAAGTTCTCAGGCACATTGGAACACTATCTATTGTACAGTCTATTGCTCTAATCTTTGAACAGAATGATGTCCATGATCTCTAATAGATATTGACCCTTTGACCTTGTTAGCATCCTATTTCTTCTAATATTGCATTTGATTTAAACAATTTGAATGCTTAGTCTGGTGTGCATTATTCTAGGGACAGTGAAAGAGACAAAAGTATGGAGACTTAACCTGGAAAAGGCTAGAGAATTATTGGATAAATGAAATGTAACTAAGTCATGCAAACATTTTTAATTTATGTCAGAATAAGTGGTAAAGGTAGTGATGGCTGACGATGTCATAGGAATGATTACATTGAGCTGGAGTGGCGACATAAGGGAAGTTTCATGGATAAATGTGGACTTAAACTGTATGTTTAGTGACTAGGAACATGAGATGACCCAGGCAATGATAAACATACTCTTTTGGTGTGTCTTATTTTCTTGTTTCATTTTTCATCTTTTTCTGTAAATGAGGCTGAATTAAAGTAGATTTTTTTTTTCCTTTTTTTGGAGAGGTTTTTGCTATAGGGTGCGTGTGCTCGCCAGACAGACAGAGACAGACAGAGAGATAGAAAGTGAGAAATCACCCTCCAGGGGGGATGGCCACACTGCAATCCTTTCTCCTCCATTCTCCTCTCAGGATCTTGGGTACGCACGCACACGCGCCTGGCGTGAGTTTAAGCCACCGGGTCCGGGACTCAAACCGCGATCGACTATGTGGGAGTCCAGTGACATAGCCATTATGCTAACTGCTGGTCCCAAAGTAGATTTTTTTTTTTTAATCAAAGTTTTACAGAAACTGAAATGTGAAGTGAGTATCAGTGAAGAGACTCGATGAACCAACTGTACTTTTTTTTAGAGGTTTTTTTCCATAGGATGCATGCATTCACCAAAGAGAGAGAGAGACAGAGACAGTGCAAGAGAAAGTGAGAAATCACCCCCCAGCAGGGATGGCCACACTAAAACCTCTTCTGCATTTTCCTCCTGGGATCTTGGGCACATACACATATGCACCCAACATGAGTTTCAAGCCACTGGGTCTGGGATGTGAACTGTTGTTGGTCATGTGGGAGTCTAGCAACATAACCACTACACCATCTGCTGGCTCCCTAACTGTACTTTCTTATACTTCTGGTTTATAATTTAGCCTTTTAAACAAATATTTGTTGGTGTCTTGTATGACATATGCTATACATAGAAGAAAAACAGGAATAATTTATGGTTCAGGGATCTTAAAGCTTAGGAGAGGACAATAGGAAACAATTAGAGAAGTAATTATTAAAACATCTTTTTGATAGGTGTTAAGGAGAATGTAATGGGGGGTATTCTAGTTCATGTTTCTTTTAAATCTGGTTCCTGTCAATGAAGGTAATTGACCTATTAGTGAAGACTTGCATTTCTCTTACAAAGACCTTTCTTACATTGTTTAATAGGGAATATTAATTCCTTTAGTAGGGAATATAGCTTTCCTCACTATTTCTAGAGAGAATTGTTAACACATTTGCTGAATTATGTACTTGTTCTGCAAAGATGATGAGCTTTCAAGTCAGATGAATGTAGTTAGTTTGAAATCATTGCATGACTTGTCTTGTATTTCTTTATCCATGACATAAATTGGTATAAGGTGTACAAAGTGCTTGGCATATCATAGATGCTTAGTGAAAGGTAGCTATGGTTACTATTTTTATTATTTTTTAAATTGTGATACCATATTTTCTCCAAAGCAGGCATTGATAAAGAGGTTCAAAGGTGCCAAAATGGAAGGAACTCCCACCAAATTAGAAAGAAAGCAAAAAAGAGAGCCCTGGGGACTCAAGAAGTCAAGATCGACTATTTTGTTCACCCAAATGGATCCAGCTTATGACTGTTGGCTTTTTTAATTCACAAAATCCTGATAATGCAAACTTGATATTGCTTTTGGAGCAGGTGCAGAAGTCGTCCTCAGACAGCGTGTAACCCAGATCAACCTGAGAAATGACAAGTGGGAAGTCTCCAAGGAAACGGGCTCCCCTGAGCAGTTTGATGTCATTGTCCTCACAGTGCCAGTTCCTCAGATTCTGCAGCTTCAAGGTGACATCGTGAACTGTGAGTCTGCCTTTACCACTGATCTGCCTCAAAGAGTGGGGTTTCTTTTGAAGAGCGTGTATTTGGTTTAACTCTTTTAGTAAAGGGTATATTTTAGATCTGATGGGTTTTCATGCTTTAAAAACTAATATTTATGGCTCAGTTCATGATTTTAGTCTTGTCTAAAGTGAAACCCATAAAATTTCTTTTTTTTTTTTTTTTTTTTTTAGCTAGAGAGCATGTGTCCTCACCAGAGAGACAGAGAGAAAGACAGGGGAGTGCATCCTCCAGTTGGCAGGTCACATCACAATTCTATCTCCTCCATCTCTCCCTCCTTTCAGAATTTTGAGCATGCATGCATATGCACGCAGCATGTTTTTCAAGCCACCAGGTTCAGGACTCAAACTGTGCTGTCGGCCATGTAGAATCTAGCTACCTTAATAACCAGACCATAGAACTGGCCTCATACAAATTTTTTTTAACCAGTTAAAAGTGGAACATTTTTCTTAATACCTCTAAGAAGTCAGTATCATATGCAGCAGTTTGGCCTAAATGAATAAAAGTCTCTCTGGGGTATCCTGAAGAAAAATTTGTTTTGTTTTGTTTTTGATACAGGAACTTGCTTGGGTTGCCTCATTTCCTTTTCTTTTTTTTTTTCCTCTTTTGATTGCACTACTGGTATTTACTTCTGTTTGAGGAAATTGACTAGTTGAAAGAGAGGCATAAGAAAAGAGATGGATGGGAGAGGAGTAAGTAAATCATGCTGAAGGAGCTAAAAGTATGGTTAAAAAATAGATAATAAAGAAACAAAAATTCAAAGAAAATTCCTCTATCTGAAGTAATAAAGGCAAAAGAACAGGTTTTTGTTTTCTTTTATTTTTTTGCCAAAGATAACAAAGTTATATTTTAAGGAGGACTGTGATGGGTTGTTGATAAGTAGACTATATGTTATTCAGTGGTCAGACGTTACTATTTTCTAATACTGAATCAATTTTCATATGATGTGGAACCATATGAACCATTATATTAAACCGTTATAGATAATGTTTTAAGAAGGCAAACATGTTTGATTTATCAACCTGAGACATTCTGATTTGTTTGAGCTTTTGTTTTATCAACCTGAGAAATAACAAATGGGTAGTTTTCAAAGAAACAAGCTACCTTGAGTAGTTTGATCTTGGTATCTTCATGATGCCAGTTATTCATGTTTTCCAGAGAGTATTCGTTTTGAGTTTCAAATTTCACTGGATTGTGGCAAAATAGAGGGCTGCACAGAGACTCAGTTGCTCCTAAAGAAAGCTGGAATATGTGAAAAGAGGGGATAAGGAAATAGGGGGAATGACCTTGTCACCAAGTAGAGTTTCTTTGTATCATCTAAATCTGACTTGGGCATCTTCCTCCTCAAAAGATCAACCTTACTTCCATTGTAATGCAGAAAGAATCTAATAGGAATCTTCTGCTTTTTTTTAATGTGGTTGTACTTAATGAATTAACCCTTTCAAGTTTCAGATAGTGGTTCATTTGAAGCTGGTGAAATTATTGTTACATATAGCAATAATAGTTAATGAGTTACCATCAAATTTGATATTGTAATAAGATTTTATAGTGCTATCAGTAGGCTCTGTGAATTATTGGCATTTATTCATAATCACCTTCTGGGGAATGTTATTAAACAGAGGATTATTTTATTATTAAGTACATTTAATATGCTGATTAGAACTTGCAAATTAAGGCAGAGTATTTTTAAAAATTGCTCTCCAGTTGCACGTCATGTATTTATATGCTTTTTATGTTTTAAATGTATATACAGTTTGTATGTTTGGGAATATTTTTAAATAGGATATTTTTATTTGATAAAGTATTATTTTGCAAATATCTAGGTATGAGAAAACAATATTTGAATAGTGACTGTTACTAGGTTGATCTATACAAGACTGATTTTGTAAGTAAAAGACAGATGTGTACCGTCAATTTCACGTGGTTGAACCTTAATACTATACTGTAGATGTAGAGGTTGGGAAAAAAAATGAATAAAACCAATAACTAGTGATATCAATCTGAAGTTTTCTTAGTACATAAAGACTGTTTTAACACATCCTTCTCATTTGTTATTATCTCCAGTGACATTGCTATTAAAATTTTTCCAGGAAGTAGTGACAAGATTTTAATCATAATCTATTATTTTATCTTGTGAATTTGTGTTATTTTTACCCTTTATATGTCTTTAGATTTTGCAATTATTTTGACATTTCCACTTTACCCTTAGATAGTAACCTCTGGCAATTAAAACAAAACAAAGGAAGCTTTTCTGTGGTTTTGCTTTGCCTTACCTGTACCAGATTTTATTGGTTTTTCTCTTGCCTTTTATCATGTCTGACTGACCCTGCCCCATCAGTCATTGAATTCTAGAGGATACTTTATCTTGCCTTGAAGCCCATGAGTTGTAACAAAGCACAGTCTGGTGATGCTGACATGTATCGGGGATGTGGTGTGGCAGTGGATACTGACATGCATGTAGCTTTTGACTTTCTTGCAGATACAATTGTCATTGAGTTTGATTGAGAAAAGGTATGTCGTGCCACTCTCAGAGGGCAAAATGATAATAAATATGGTTTATGGGTCAAAGACTTGAAGTATTGCATAAATTGTTTTCTTTGGAAAAGCAAAGCTGCTATTTTATCTTGAAAGCAATCTTCCCCCTTGAGTATTAATTCCATTCAGTAGCAGCAATATAGCTTCTTTCCTAGTATGATCATGTGTGATAATAATATGGAAGGAATTCGAATATTTATTAGACATCTATGGGGAAAAAAGGGAAACTAATTTCAAAGATCTCTTTCATGAAACTACTTCTATTTTGTTGCCAGTCATTTAAAGTAGGATAATTTATTGCCATGGAGGTATGTAATAATTAGATTGATTTTGAGACTGTCTTCATAACATTTTACTAAAATACAGATATTGGTTGGTACATTCAGTTATACTGTAAATGATATATTCTGATGTTTAAAATCTATGTGGTTTTATGTATTGAGGGAAACCTTTCAACATTGCATTTTGAAAATGTTTCTCAATATTTTAATAGTGACTTCTAAAACATAACACCATGGTTTAGAATGACTCCAAAGATACATTTAATGACCCAGTAATTAATAATTTATTTAGATCTTCTATATCTTCATTTTATATGTGTGTATTTCAGTTGTGTTGGTATGAGAGAGGTAAATCAACTTTCTGTCTTTCCTGAGTTTTGTTTTGACATTTTTAGTCTCATGCTTTTATTTGACTGATCATAGATCTTCATTATAATTACACCGTTTGACTTTAAAAGTTCTCTTTTTAGTCTCATATTAATTTTATTTTACTTTTTTTTTTTTTTTGGAGAGGTTTTTGCTACAGGGCGTGGCTCGCCAGAGAGACAGAGAGAGATAGAGAGACAGAAAGCAAGAAATCGCCCCCAAGGGGGGATGGCCATGCCACAGTCCCTTCTCCTCCATTCTCCCCTCGGGATCTTGGACACGCCCGCACACGCGCCCAGTATGAGTTTAAGCCACCGGGTCCTGGACTCGAATCGCGGTCGACTACATGGGGGAGTTCAGCGACATAGCCATTACACTAACTGCTGTTCCCAATTTCATTTTACTTTTAAATGACTCTTTCCTGATAAATGATGTTCTTTTATTTTATTTATCTAGTTGATCCTTTTTACTTCAAATTTTTAAGGATTACCAAATTTAGAGGCAACTCTTCCATATATATGTTTATCTTTAAGGACAGTAATTTTATAAAGGGAGATTTTTGCTATAGGGTGCTTGTGCTTACCAGAGAGATAGAGAGATAGTAGTCAAGAACCTCCCCTCCCCCCAGGGGTATGGCTATATCACAATCCCTTCTCCATTCTCCTCTTAGGATCTTGGGCATGCACGCACACATGCCCGGTGTGAGTTTAAGCTACCGGGTCTGAGACTCCAACCACGGTCGACTACATGGGAGTCCTGCAACATAGCTATTACACCAACTGCTGGTCCCAATTTCTCATCTTTAAATGGAATCAAATCTGTCAATGTTATGATGGTGTTACAGGAGCAAGGCCAGACTTTACAGTTAAATTACCTTGTCTCAGAACACTTTTGTGTAAATTTACCTGTGACCAGTGGAATGCTAGTGATAATTAATGTAGTAATGTATTATTAACGTAGAAAGATTTAAAGGACTGGTCCCATAGTGTAGCAGTTAAGTGTCGTGCATAGTGAGTCAAATCCCACATGACTGAATGCATTTGAATCTTGTCCTTAGTGGCTTCAAAAATTTGCTTGGTGGATATGTGTGCACCAAATCCTGATGTGATGGAATAATGGAGGAGAAGAGATTGAGGTGTGACCACGCCCCATTGGGAGTACTTGTCTTTCTCTCTCTCTCTTTGATGAGTGCATGTACCTACTGGCAATTAAAAAAAATCTAAATATTTTTTAACTTAGAAGATAAAGAGATGTGTCTACATTTCTTTTCCATTTTTAGAAAAGAGTCTGACAATTATATTATCATTGGTTATTGCTTATATATGATTTTCATTTCTTCTTTAGAATTGTTTTGAAGAGCCATAACTTTAAAAATAAGAAAATTTTTCTTACTATAAAAAATGATAACATTGATACTGATTTAAAAAAAATGTATCATGCTGAAAGAGGAGCAGGTCCTTTTCCTTTCCCTTTTTTGTTTTTTTAAGTGGGTGAATATTGTGGTACATGTAAGCTCTCTATAATGAAAACTTTAAGAATGATTGATTTGGTACATCTGACTTAGGGTGAGGGTCTCTGGCATGTCACATTGACGCAATTAAAAATCAGATCCCATTAATATTATTCCACGCTTATTTCATTGTTATGAAATAACCCTGGCTGTAAAGAGTTAAACTAGACCATCCTCACAAGATTTCTTAACATCTGTGGACTAAATCAAAGGGGTTAAAACATCTGCTTTCTACTTGTTTTACAAGTCTAAATAAGACCTCAGTAGGAGGA